CCATCCCTGTTTGCTCTTCTGCTGGATGGTCCAAGGGAAGGTCACAAACAGAGTGCTCAGGTCTGTTCTCTACCTCATTTGGAGCAGGGAATCCATCACATTAGATCTTCCCATGGCCGTGCTGGTTCTGTAACCCCCAACACAATCTTTTTCTCTCTCCAGGTGTTTTGAAAGGTCTCTTCTGTCAAAGGAAACAAAAAAATAAAAGAGAAAACCCAGCCATGACACACTTGGGAAAAAGAGGTTTTTGTGCTTCCAGACAGTTGTAATGATTTTTTTTTTTTTCCTTTGATGCAACAAGATTTTTTTTGGAAGCAGCAGGATTTTGAGTGCTTGAGGGGTGACCATTGTACAGCCAGTGAGGAAATGAGATTGTGCAGTGTTGGAGTCCAGGACATCCCTCTGGCTGCCCTGGATGTCTTGAGACCCTGGCATGAAGTCAAAAGCATCTGTGGCTTTGATTTTAGCCTGTGGAAAACTGTCAATTTTGTATGAGGAATTATAAGTCACAAGGGTTTTAGCAGTGTGATATTTAAATTAACACAGGGTGGAAAAGTAGAATTTTGGGATTTTTATAATGTGGTTCAAGGGGGTACAAGATGGAGGAATTTGGGCATGTTCTAACTTTCTTTCCCTTCTTCTTGTCCTCCATGTCTTGGTGTGATGGTGGCACTTTTCTATTGATTTAAGGTAGAGATTCACTGTCTAACATAGATGATAGGTATTGGTGAAGAAATTTTAAACATAGACATGTAGTTTTGAGTATATAATGTGGGAGCCACTCAGGGCTCAGGTCAGAAATGTTATGGCCTCCTTGCTAGCTAGAGCTCAGCAGGTCAGAGAAAGAATGTTTAGATAAGAAGAAATAAACAACAATGAAAGCACAATCGGAAGCATTCCAGGCTCCTTTTTTAGCGTCGGGCTAGGGAAAGGGAAGTAAAGACTCTTTTTGATCTCTTGGGGTCACCCTGACCCTTTGGACCCCCCAGAGAAATCGACAGTGCAGTGGAGTGGAAGGGCAGCTGATTTCCAGAAAAAAAAAAGGCTCTTACACTGAAATGTCAGGGCTGTCTTTGCTCAGGTCATTTGAGCGTTTCCAGCACCTTGGTGATCTATGAGTGCATGAGAAGAGAGGAATAACTTGTAGCTGTTCACATCCAAGAAATGCCACTGGGAAGAACAAATAATGTTTACTTGAAAATACAAGGGGCATAGGGGAGCACAGTGATTTTTTTTGTTTTTTTTTTTTTCAAATAGTTAGTGATCCTTCAGAGAAACCCTTTTACACTGATTTCAGCTGTCAGAACCAGAGCAAAGTATTTGAATGCTTTCCATAATGTTTGCAGAGCTTCATTTATTGTGCCTGCTTTGGTTTATTAAAAACAAGGAAACAAATGCTGTCCACCCTCAGAAAAACTCCCAACAGCCTCTGTCATTGATATTTAAATGTGTAGAATCACAGAATCACTGAATTATTTGTGCTGGAAGAGACCTTTAAAGATCACATGGTCCAGTCCCTGTGCTGTGTCCTCACGCCTTTCTCCAAAGGGCTGCTCTCAATCCTTTTATCACCCAATCTGTGCTGAAAACACAATACCAAAGCATCTGTCCTGTATGAGGGACCAGAGAGAAGCCAAAAGAATTAGCAGGATAATTAAAAAATTTTAAAAAAGGGGGAAAAAAAGGCCTATCAATATTTGCCTCGAGAGTTGTCAATATATGCTTGTTTTTAACGTGGTTATGGAAAATCTTGGGTAGCTAATGCAATTTGAGCAGATACTGAGCAAAGAGAAGGCAAAGGGGGAGAATTACAACTCTTAAACTTTTCAAAAATCTGTAGGGAGGAGAGTTTAATTCAGAGACCCTGGAATGTTCTTGTGTGAGCTGGAGCTGCTGCCAGGATTGATTTGATGAGTGTGTGATCCAGCTCTATCCCCTTGCACTTCTGGCATTCCCTGCCCACACACAGCCTCTGCCAAAGGGAAATCCATGCTAATAGAATTTTCTGCTTTTAGCAAAGACATCCTCACCTTTCTTTTGTGGTGCTGGAGCTGGGTAAGGAGGCCTTAATTCAGGATGGGAATGAACTATTAATTAGTGAAGTTCTGTTATTCCAGTAGAGATATGTGGTAGGACTGTGTGAAGCTTCTTTAATAAGAGAGCAAGGTTCCCTAGTGTGATCACAAAACCAGGATCATTACAAGGCTGCCAAATGAGCTTATGGTAATTATCAAGTGATATATTTGATAATTGTACAGAATTTTGGGTGAGTTCTGCATTAATTAGTAACAGAAGCTGATGGAGATGTTCTTTCTTCTGTACCACTCTAGGTGAAGTAAGATATTTAAAATAAACCAGTTAACCGGTTAATCAGTTTAAAATAAACCAGCTTTAAAGCCCTACTGAAAAACAGGTATTTTAATAAGGTAAAAGTTTATTATTATTATTTTTTCTTCATTTTTTCATGCAATTTATATAGATTCAGAGGTTATTGGCTTTTTAAAAATGGGAAATAAGTTAATATGACATGGATTTTTCTGTCACTGGTATTAGAAACCTTCCTCTCCCTTTCCCCTGTCCCAGTACAGCTGACTTTCTGTAACAGGAATTCTAATTTTGGAAGAGATTACTTTTTTAGCCTCTTAACTTGTAATTTAATGGAATTTAAAGAAGCTGACACGAGGTGGGTAAAATGGCAATATTCCAGGTTTTATGAGTGGTTTTCTTCCTATGAGAGCTCTGTTTTACCCAGAGCCCAACCTGTTGGTGCAGAGACTGGAATCCAGAATTCTTTTTCCAGGGGGATGTCTTATCCCCTCCTGGAGATTTCTCTCCTTGTTTTATCTGAATGCTGTTGATCAGAGTGTAGTGAGATGTTGCTTTTTTTAAAATTTTTTTACTTAATGCCAGTAGATTTTGTTTAAAATTTTAAAGCCTTTGCTTCAAGTTTACAAATCATTGAGGTTCATTGGCAAACAAAGCCTCTTGCACCATTTGTGATCTTGTGCTCTCTTGCTGAAACTCTTCCATGATTGTATTTTAGTCCCACCTTTTGACATGATGGAAACTTATTTTTTTAATGGGAGAAACAAAATAATAATAAAAAAAAAGAGCAGCAAACATTTATGAAGGAATTGGGCTCAAACAGAATACACTAGTATTTCCTTTTGAAAAAGAGGATTGACTTTGGGGGTGCTGTTTCCTACATGTGGATTATGAGAAGTGGTAGAAAAAGTCTCCATCTTCTGTGGTAATTTGGATTTTCCTGTGGACTGTGTTAGTTCTGGACTCAGCAGCTGAGAGCATTAGCAAAGGTTTTCTGCCAGTACTGGATCCTCTTCATCTCTAGGACCTGCACATGTTCATCTTCCCTGCACAGACTGACACAGAAGTTCTTAACTGAGGAGATTTTGAGCACTTGTAGACAATTTAAGTGATTTTTATCTATTTCTGCATATTAAGCAGCATAGGAAAAAGCTGTTCTTTTATTTCAAAAAGGCCCTAAAGAAAATAGTAATCAATATTTTATTTCAATTTATAATTATTTCCACATTGGAAAGTTCTGATAAACTTTTCTTATTGTTTGGTGGTAGGTTAGAATTATTTGCATTTCTGTAAATGTCCATAACTAGATGCCAATGACAATGATCAACTATGAAAGGATCTTCAGGAAATTTCATGAGGAATATTTTCAAGAGAAAGCTAATAAAGAAAATATTATTTCTAGATAAAAACAGTGGAAAAAAAACCATATCATGGATGAATATTACATTCCAGTAGCCAAGCACACTCCTTCCTGAGAGAAGGCTCTGGAATACATTTTTTCCTCCCAGTACATCCATGGATATGCTATTTTCAAGCCCTGATTTTATATATATATATTTAGGTAATATATTTATTCTTCCACAGTCTGTAGTTTTAAGATGTGATTTGGAAAAAAAAAAAAGTGGCTAAAAAAAAAATGTAGCACAAAGAGCGTGGTAAAAGATTTTCTGGTCAAAACTGTACCACAGACCTTGTCACTCTTGTGGTAACAGAGATGGAACGACAGTGAATTTTCATACTTGTTTTAGAATCTTTTGGTTTTTAGTGAAATGTTTTTGTTGCAAAGGCATTTATTTTCTTACAGCAAATCTGTGGTTTAGAACACTAATAGAACACTATAGGTGCCATGATCTGTATCCTGGTTAGGGAGAACTGCATCCCTGCTCATTTGTTTGTGCATTTAACACCTGATAGTGCCCAATTGAATATTCCTGTTTCACAGAGCAGCAGCCTGGTGCTGCTGGAGTCATGCTGGATTCCCTCTTTGCCCAGCACTCAGCTGTGGGATGTACACACTGGGCTGTGTTTTTAATCTTTCTAATCAGTTTATTGATAGCTCAATAAAGAATTCCTTCAGGAGATTCTGCAAACATGGAGGCAGAGTTTCCTTCTCTTTAAATACTGGTGGGAGCATTTTGCTGCCTACTGTGGTTTTATGACAAAATATTAGGAGTACAGTGAAGCAACACTAAGGCAAAGAGTTTTCACCTGTGGGAGCTCTTTGTACCTTTCACATCTGGAAAACAGCCACAATGTTTTTGTCACCACTTGCACATCTCTGCCAGTACATTATCTCAAGGGACAATTGCTTTTTGAGTGGTTTCTGACCCTTGTGTGTTCAGGTTCTATTTTATCAGTGTCTTCATTTTTTTGAAAATGAAAACAAGTGACAAAAACGATGCTTTGGCACCGCAGCCCTGCCATGCCTGGTTCTTATCTTTTTCTTTTTTCTGCTTGGCTGTGATTTGCTTAGCCCAGACTGAGGAGAGGTTAAAAGGAAAACCCTCTTTTGGGGGGACGTGCTGCTGGATTTTATACTTTCAATTTTATCTTTTCAAAACATGTGGCCACTATATCCCTTCCAGGACACAGAAAATAGTGTGAGGATTGAATGAGGTGTTCCTATAAATAGAGAATTGTTCAAACTGACAAAAAGTTGTTTTTCCTGCCCAAAGGTAACGACGTTGGTGAACACGAGCAATAAAGGACCGTCTGGCAAGAAGAAAGGGCGCTCGAAGAAGGCTCATGTTTTGGCTGCCTCAGTGGAGCAGGCCACTCAGAACTTCTTGGAAAAAGGAGACCAAATTGCTAAAGAGAGCCAGGATCTCAAAGAGGAGTTGGTTGCTGCTGTAGATGATGTTCGAAAACAAGGTATGTGAGAAAATGTTGATTCTCTTTCTTCTTTTCTGCCAAGGTTGGGATTAAATTGTGAGATGGTATTTCTTGTTTGGACTCAGATGTTTATTTTGGTTCTTATCTATGTTGCAGTCTCACAAACCCTGAGTTCTACAGTACTACACTAATAAGGTAAAAATGGAGCCCCATCTCTCTCTCTCTCTCCAAGGCCTTTTAAAGATAAAATGTCCAATTAAGAAATGACACCTAAATTATTTTTACTTTTAACCCAATAACCAACCACCCATGCCCACAATGTGGACATTTTTTATCCAATTACACAAAACCACCCAAATCCATGGAGAAGAAGGTGAAGAAGAATGTAAAGAAGAAGGACCAATCTCTGCCCAAAACCCTCCATTTTGTTTTATATGTATTACTATATTCTAAAACCTTAAACTCTTAAGTTTTCCACCCTGTGATATTACACACTTCTATTCAAACTTCACACCCATGATCCCAGTTCTATCATTCAGTTTTGGAAGCTTTTCAACAGCCTCAGGTCAAATGCAGTGTTCTCCTGGGGGTAGGTGCCTGTCAGCACAGAAAGTCTAAAATTCTCAGTAATTTAGTATAAAATTCTTAGTAAATTACCAGGCTTCCAACAGGAAAAAATGCTCAATGGGAGCAGAGCTTTGCCCAATGCCAAAGATTATTTTTCCATTTCCAGCCTGTGTTTTTATTCTGCTGTGTGACAAAATGATGTGATTTTCTTCACTTGGCTGAATCTGAGCAGTGGTTTAAAGCCTGTGGGTGCAAATGGAGAACTAGGATTATGGTACATATGTTTCTGAACTATCTAACAATTATCAACCAAATAAATGAGCAATGTTGAAGTGCTTGTGATTTCAAATATATAAAAAAATAATGTCAAAGGCTGAAAATAGAGGTATAATAACAGTATTAAGACAATTATTTTCTGGATGTTGTTGATAAAATAAATGGATACTTGCAAGATCTGACAATTCTCTTTCAAAAGATAAAATGGATATGAGGTGCTTTTAAATTTACTTGTGTGGTAGGGGAAAAATATGTTTTCAATATATGCCTATGACAAAATGTTTCCATTTTATTTATTTTGATTGTAATTATTTTTATTGCAGCAGAATTAAGTACCTTTCAGGTTTATTCTGTTGCAAGTCCTATAATCTAAAGATACCATCTGCCAGTATCATCAGCTCTGGGTGTTGGAACAACACTGAGAGATCTCCAACTGAGATTTCAGAAGGAAGCTAAAGGATTTGGGTGTAAAATACTGATATTCAGTGAGCTACTCCCCCAGAACTCATACTATGTTGTTTTTTTTTTTTTTTTTATTGAAAAATGGACTGAAGTGATCATAAGAGAAAGCAGGGTTAAATTTTGGGTATATAAGCACTGCTTAGTGAATATTCCAGTCTGTTCTATCCTGAGGATATTTTTTCCTCCTCTCCACTCTGTGTGTATTTGGTTTCACTGTTTTCATGTTCCTGTGTGGTTTGGGTTTTCTTAAATATTCAGTTGTCAGTACATCAGAATAAGTTAAGTATTTGCTGTATGCTGTATCTGCAATGATATTCCATTATTCTAGTGGGGTTTTATGGGTTTTGTTGGTTATTTTTTCTGCTGGGTATTTGTTGTTGTGATGGTGGGGTTTGGTTGAGTGTTTTTTAGATTTTTAATGCTGATGCCTGGCTGTTCTGGTATTAATTTTCATTTGTCAGCTACTTTTCTGTTGCTTACATGGCTTATTTTGTGTTGCGTTAAGTTGTAGCTCAGCACCTTCAGTGGTGACATGAGTGCCCATGTTCTCTCTGAATTCATAACCTTTCCTCTTTTGGGTTTGTGCTGCTGACTCAGCTTCTCCTCAGGAGCCTTCTCCTGAGTTAGAGGCATCAACCTAAACTTGCACACTCTTTTATCTAGACTAAATTTCTGAGTTTTTACATGACAAAAAGACTTTTACTTTTCTTAACCTATATTTAGAAACGACCAACCCAAACAACAATGAAGAAGCAGAGAGGAGGAAAAAAGATCTTAAACAGAATTACAGAGAATGACACAGACATTCATCTCTTGTCAACACTCCAGGCTGGAAAAAAAAAGGCTGTCAGAAAAGTGGAGCAGCTTTTTTTGGGGCCTGTTCAACACGATCCCGTAATGAGGAGAGCAGGAGACACCACACACCATTATTAGCACCCACGAGCCGTGGAAATGAGACCAGCCCTGGTGTGATGTGAAATGATATGTTTAGCTGGGTGGCATAAAGAGCTGGATTAATGAACTGAGGCTGTGTTTTCCTGGCTGATTTCCTGGGAGGGTTCCAGCTGGGATAATTACATCGTCAACCTAAAAATGTCTGCGGCACTTCCAGCTGGCTCTTGGTGTGCTCCTCATTTCCTGCCCTGCGTTGCTGGGTGGTGGTGTGTCCTACTAAAGGTAGCAATTCACTCCAGGGACTCCTGCTTTCCATTGATAGGTGTGGAACAAATGCTCTGTATCACTGCAAAATGCTTTGGAGTGTCCACAGTGCTGAGATTGTTGTTCCTTCTGTGGTGTGGAAGGGTAAATTCTGTGGGCTGTAGAAAACTTGGGTGATATACAGGTTTGATTTATGAAACCCGTTCTAAAAACACAAAGAGCAAAAACCAAAAGATTTGATGCCTAAAGCTTATCCCTGTGTATCTCTGTATCCCATAATGATTCCATAATAGGAACACTTATACTTCAGAACCACCTAAGTGAGATTCTCCAGTTGCTGGGCCATTAAATACTTTGCTGTGTGGGTGTTTATTGTGGTACTGTCAGAGTTGTGTAAAAGACCTCCCAGATGGGGGACAAAGAAGACCTGGGACATGTGGAAGTTTATCATTCATGTCTTTTTATATTAGAGAGAAGGAAAAGCACACAGGTGTTGGAACCAGATGATCTATAAGGTCCCTTCGAACCCAAACCATTCCATGATTCTGTGACCATAAAGAGTGAAACTACAAACCCTGAGAAGTGCAGGGAAGTGATGGAGAACTCACAGGAATAAAAATACAGTGTGTGCTATACTCATAGTGTCTAAATACAACTGATCTTTTATTGATCAGTAGAGAAGAAGGAAATTCCCTGTGGAAGAGAAATTCAGGCCATGATTGACACAAAAATCTATCAAGAACTGCAGTTCCACTGGGCTCCAGTTTGATCAAATTTGTTAGGACACAGCCTGGGATGCTGCAGAAAGCAACACAAGGAAATAGGCTGTATTAATGTAAATGTATTCTATCTGGCTTTGGCAATGTCTGTCTGTAGGTATGTGCTGGTGACTGCCTGATTTTAATGTAATTTTCCTGAAAGTTTTCTGGCATATAGCTGAAACTTCCATTAGAAACACGATTTAGTCCAGCTTGTGGTTGTTGTGTTTTAAATTGTTTTGCTCTTCAGTCATGGGAGATGAAATTTCACACCACAATATGAAATTTGTACTTCAATCAAGGGACAGAAAATAGCTGTTGATGTCTTTTGTGTTTGAAGATAGGGTAAAGTTGAGGTAGACTTCATTTTTTGCTCATGCAGGTTTATGGACATTGTGGAAAAGAATGTGATCTCTGTACTCTGTGACTGTCGTGACATTGTGGATGAACACCTCTGAGACATGAAAGTGACTTTAACTTCCTTGCAATTTTTTTTTTCTCTGACAGAAAACACTAATATTTTTAGTGCTTTAATGCTTTCAACCATCTAGTTTTGAAAATTTTTTGAAGTTTTAACATGAAAAATAAATTCTATAAAAGATGATTTCTAGAGAAATCTAGAGAATCTAGAGTCTAGATAACCTGTTTTTTTAGACAAAAAATCTCCATATCTTTTCACTTAAACCTATGTTCTCCCTATTCTTATTTATAAACATTTTCACTGAAGTATATGAAAACTTTTTTTTTTTGTTTACAGAAGTTAGGATATGCTAGTTCTTGATAGAGGAGGAAAACAGGTTTTTTTAGACAAACTAGAATTTCAGTTCATCCTAAAAGGTGGAGCATGTGGGCAGTCCTACTTAATGGGAGAATGAATCTTGGTCTGCACTTTTGAAAGAACCTATGTGTACAATAAACATTTTCTTTTTTTTTCCAATAAAATCTGTGATAAGGTGCCCTGCAACTTGCTTTTTGTCTGGCTGGTGGCTCATGCCTGGACTGAAAGCTTTGAGCACAAACTTTTGAAGTCTTCTATTCAGCAAGTCACTGGAGCCATGGACTGAAAGCTCTTACCTTGTTAATAAAAAATATTCCTTTTCTATTTTGAATTGCTTGTTATGTATGGAAGTGACTTCAATTATTAATAATGTTTGCAATGCTCCTTCTAAGAAATCTGGGCCCCTAAATGCCATTCCATGCAAATACTCTAATGCTGCCTCTTTCAAACTCTTTTCCATCCATTAATTATCTTTCAGCTCTCTGAGAACTGAGTTGCAGAAAGACATCAAAAGTCCTACTCTGAAATGGTTTAAAACACTTCTGATGAAAAAGCAGATGTTGCAGAGCATCCCCAAGAGTCGCTATAGAGAAAAATAGGGTCAGGGGTTCCCCGATGTAATTATCCCAGGAGTGAGGCTGCTGCAGCTCCACGGCCCCAGTTTGAAGCAGGAATGAGACTGATCCTGTATTTCCAGTAGGCACATGCACACAAGCACATATATACAGCTGATGTATACATGTACATATATAACATACATCTATATAATTTATATTTATGGCTGACCTTACACATCAGCCTCTCGGCACTCACTTTTCTATGATTCTGTGAGACATTGGGATTGTCTACCCAAAGAAGTGGTGGATATTCCATCACTGGAAATATTCGAGGTCAGGTTGGATGGGGCTCTGAGCAACCTGGTCTAGTTAAGATGTCCCTGCTCATTGCAAGGGATGGACTAGGTAACCTTCAAAATCCCTTCTAACCCCAACTATTTTATCTTTCTCTGTGAAACAAACCCAACAGCACCAATGTCTTGT